CAGAATCCTATCAAATGGCCTGCTCTGATGATGATGCAAACTCTTTCAGGATTGCTAGTTGACTGGAACTAAAGATAAGACCTGACTGCAATCCCCCAATGTGCTCTTTACAAAACTAGTGTTAATTTTCATCAAAGTGCCGGGCTTATTTATTATAGTGGCGAGGTTGAAGGTTTTACTACGAGAACTTTCGACCATTTCTATTAAAGCATTTCTATGGGAACCGGCTGCCTGTTTGCTCAAAGTAATTATCAGTTTAAGCAGTGGGGGAAAAAAAAAGACAATATGAAGTCAATGAAGATGAATAATTGAAAAAATTTCTACTTTAACGTGAATTTAGCAAACTCTGTCATTTTAAACTGCCCGTCGCGAGCGGTGGCACGGGGGCTTTAGCTTTCAACACTTTTAGCTCATATACAGCCTCAGAGCTTAATCCTATTTTTGTCCGGAGTGTAGCTTTTATAGCAGTATTATTCTGAAATCTTCAAATTAATCACAGCCCATATTGTAGCTTCCCAGAGCTGCAGTCAGCCTGGGTAACTATATGTGACAGGTGTTATAGGTAATTCTGGCTTAAAAGGCACAACAGGTAGGAATCAAACTTGAACACAGTTGCTTTTTTCAACATAGGGATGCTTCCCAAAACTGCTGCCCGGCGGTATTTTGTTGGATAAAACAAAATTGCAATGTAATCACGTATAAAATGTTATTTAAATACTTTGTGCCGATTCCTCTTTTAACCAATTGCTGCTTGACTGTATTTATTTCGGGGGGGGGGCGGAAGGGGAGGGGAAATCAGACTCCCTTTCTAGGAAACAAAGTAAAAATGCAACAGAATATTTCTGCCAGCAAGTTTTCCCATGGCGTTTTTCAAACACTAATAATAAGCAAACACAGAAACAAAAAAAAACCCAGTTTTGTTCCATGAAGTCCTAATATGACATTATTTACCCCACAGGGCTACAAGATGGGGCAACAAAACCCGTAGCTCTTAGAATGGGACTTAACGGAGGAAAAATAGTAGCGAAGGACTGAGCGAAACCTGTACCGAAAGATTTTGACTGATGTTTGCTGTTTCGAAAGCTAAAATTGCTGCTGAAACTAGAGAGGTAGGGGGTGAAGCAAAAAAAAAAAAAAAAAAAAAGAAAAAAAAAGGCTTTAAAAATAAGAGCTTTTCAACTAAGTGAAGACCGTCAAAATTGCAAAATAATTAAATCGAGTCCAGGTAGAGACGGGGTTTTTCAGGTCCCTTTTCATCTGGAGCTTCATGTGCCCAGATGTGCCGGGGAGCCCGAGTCTCGGCACAATTATCAGCAGAAGCGGGGGGAAAGTTAACCTGAAAGTTGGGGGCCGCGTCTGGGGGGAGCAAACACCCGTGAAATTCTCTGCCGTGTCTCTCTCCTCCTTTTCTGCCCGGCTCACCGCTGTTGCCCTTCGCAAGACGGTTTTGTCGCGCTGAGATTGCATCGCGCGTGCAGGGGCTTTATTTGTGTGGGTAAAACCCTCCGGTTTTGGGAAGCTCTGACTTGCAGAGGTTGCAGAGCGGTGCGTGTTCAACGGGTGGAACTGAAGGAGCCTTCCCCAAAAAGCAGCAAAAAGGGCAAGCGGCGGTGGGAATCGAGAGACCGCGTTGAAAATTAGCACCTAAAAGGCTGCTACCTAAATTAAAGCAGCTTTGTCGCGGGCTTAGATTACCAGTAATTTTGGCTGGTAGCTTTCAATTCTGATCTGTGTACACCTGGAAAATTATTTCCTTAACAACGGTGGAGGGGAAGCAACACCCTTAGAAAGAGGAGAAGGAAAAGAAGGAGGAAAAGGAAAAGAAAGAGAAAAAAAACTCCTGGGAAGTTTCGGCAGCGCC